ACTACTAGCGTGGCACTTGTTACTACTAGCTTCTTGTTACTACTAGTGACTCAGACTCTCTCTGACACTTACACTCAAGCAAATCATTTGGGACCAGTGGGAGGCCATTCCTATTAGGTTGGAGGGGGTTGGAGGCCATCGCTACTAGGTTGGAGGCCATTGCTATTGTGATATAATTTGAAGAGAGATGATGATATGTCAAGAGTCAAGTTGCAGAAGAGTGGACAAGTTCTTCGGATTTGTGTGATAGCGGTTGTATGCGGCTGTTGTGTTTGGGCTTCCGGTTGTTTTAAGGCCGGGGACGCCAACAAGCGCGTCAATCGACTCCGCTAGAGGTGCACAATGGTGTTTGATGGTTGTTCAGTTTCTGTTGCCGGGATCTTGCCATTTATATCACTTTATTCATTTATGATCTATTTCTAGCGTCAACAAACAAAGAGAAGACTTACATGTGCCCAAGAACGTTTGGCAGCGACCAACATGGAACACTGTGCTCGAACAACACCAAGATCGCAGTAGCATCCAAGACCGCATGCATGTACTCTGTTCTTGATGCCGCCGTGGTCAGTGCACTCAATTGCATCTTTGAGCACCAAGGCTAACGCTGGGTTTTGTGGAAAGCATGAAGGATATAAGGATTTCATTGGAAAGTGTTGGATAATGCTTTTCCAGTGGCACCTGTGGCCAGGCGGAACTCGAAATAAGTACACACAAGCCCAGAGGGAATTTGACATGATAAACTCGCACGAAAGTGCCAAGCGCAGGTGCCATGGTTCGAGGGTTCAGCACTCAGTGACTGAAATGCGCTGGAGCCTGTGAAGCAACTAGTAGTACGGCCAGGAGCCCCTAGTAGATTCAGAGAATCAAGATGGTGTCAACAAGTTTTAGTTTACCCCAGCCCCAACCTGCTTTGAAGTGCTTTTGTAAAAGCTCTTTCTGCCTTTGGTTCGCCATTCACGAGGCCTAGTGCCGGTGGCTCTCGGAAGCCCAATGGCCAGAGCTCTCGCCGAATCTTGTCTCAGGTCGGGCTGAAGCTAGTAGTAACAAGTGCCACGCTAGTAGTAACAAGTGCCTTACTAGTAGTAACAAGAAGCTACTAGGAACAAGTGCATCGCTTCTAGTAACACGTGCCTTACTACTAGTAACAAGAAGCTACTAGTAACAAGTGCCTTACTAGTAGTTCACCCGCATTCTGGGACCAGGGGCCCGGCGGTTAGGACGCTACTAGGGGCTCCTGGCATCGCTACTAGGAGCAAGGACCTTACTACTAGGAGCAAGAGGATGCAACTAGGAGCGAAGGGCATCGCTTAAGAGATGTTAAGAGTCTTTCTTTCGCTAGGTTGAAGGCCATCGCTAGTAGGTTGGAGGCCATCGCTAGTAAGAGTCTTTCTTTGAGAGGCTAAAATCTGCAATCTGCATGGTCCATGGTTGAAACGGGGTGATCAAGTTTGTGCATTGTTTTGATTATGTTTTCTTTTGTGCTCATTTCCCTGACATTCCAGAATGCCTCTGTGGTCTATACTATTATGCTCTTGTAACCTTACTTTTTTGCTATCCTTTTCTACTGGCGACAAAGGCTAAACTAAATGACTGCATGGTCTCAGGTTCGGAATGTCAAACATTTTGGTCGCTTGCTCGATCTTGATCCTTGGAAACGTGAAAATCCGGCTGCATCGCCACGGTCTCTTCCGGCAGCTCGCAATCCCATGAGATTGTGCCGAACCACGTAGTCACATATAGCCTCAGAGCTGCTCATTAATTTTGGGACACATTTCGCCCTCGCTGTGCGAACAACATTGTTTCCATCCTTTCTTTGCAGACCCGCATAAGCCTTGGGGCCACGATTGCTTGAACCAGCCGAGCTGCGCAAGGGGGTTACCAACGGGCTGCAGTGCATGTTTCGATCGGGTGGCGTCGAGTCAACTTTGCCTTGCCTTGAAGACACATCAATGCTCAGAAGCAAGGACGCTACTTGGGGCTCCTGGCCTTACTACTAGGAGCAAGAGGACGCTACTAAGGGACAAAGGGCATCGCTACTAGTAACAAGGACGCCATTAGGAGCAAAGGACACTATTAGGAGCAAGGAGCCTGCACCGAACCATTGGCGATTGTCGATCTGCCACTGCAAGTCGAACGCAAGCGCTGACCTGCAAACAGACAGCTGCTTGGGTGTTCAAGTGCATGTCCAAGCCAATCAAAGACCCTTTTACTTTAATGGAGCCTCCGGAAGATTGAAAAACCCCGCCGCCTTGGGCAAATGAGGAGCTTCTGAGACTGATCTACTAATGCTAGCGAAAACCAGAACAGAGATCATTTCTCAGAACATTTGCAAGAAGAGGAGAACCGTTAGAGAGGTTCAATCTCTAGATCGGACGGTTTTGACGATGTTAGTATTAGATTACAGTATTGGGTGTATTAGTAGTATGGTGACAAACTCAGTGTCTCTTCGACTTTCCTTGTTCCGGATTCTTTCCAGTCCTTGTCCTGGTTTTGAGCGTAATGTGGCCAGGCAGCACCCTCGCGTGGCTTGCGATGAGGCACTTGAGCCACTTAGGATCCTCTTGGACTCTTTTAGAGCGAATGTAGTGGGGTCACACCTGAAAGCTGGCGCTGATGATTTTCTCGTGTGAAGAATGCTTGGAAAGCATTGTGTCTTGAAAGCGCTCCGCATCTGCTGCAGTTGGACATCGCTTGCTGCGCTTCTGAGCTTTCAGAAAAACAGCTCAGATGAACTTTTGGCATTGTCTACACTCCTGGTGTTTTGAACAGCGTAGTACTATGCCAATCAGCGTTGGACAGGTATCGTATCGACAATTGATTGACTCCTGAGCTTTGTCGGGCATTCTGCATGAGTCATCATTCCATCGTTTGTTCTTTCATGATTACAACTTTCACTCTGATGCGGATGCTTGTTTCCTGTACAGTATCAAGTTGCTTCCAATTCTACAACTGTGAACCGAATTCAAGCAGCACTTTCCACCTAATGGGGTGAGGCCAGCTTTCCTTTAAATGGTGATGCTGAACCAGCTTCATGTAGAAACACTGACTCAGAAAAAAGAATAACAATAAATAATGTAAAGTGAAAGGAGATACTTGAAACGATCACAGACATACATTTATCGACAATTCCGGACGTCATTCTAGCGCTTTGCACGTATGGTCGAAGTGGAGGCCATGGTTTTTACGTATGTTCTGCTTTTTGCTTTGCCAGATTTCTTTCATGCTAGTTGGAGGCCATCGCTACTAGGTTAGAGGCCATTACTTGCAAGCTTTCTCAGGCAGCTGCGACACCTCAGATCCAGACAGTGTCAGTGTCGCAGTTCACGGATGCTTGTGGCGTTTGTTTCAGATCAAGTCCAACTGTTCGCTTATTCCAAGCTGAGGCCGTGGATCATCGGTGCAATCTTGATTGTGGTCGGATTCTTGATACCAAGCTAGGAACAAGAAGCTACTAGGAGCAAAGGACATCGCTACTAGGAACAAGGACGCTACTAGGGGCTCCAGGCCGTACTATTAGGAACAAGGAAGCTACTAGTAACAAGTGCATCTCTACTGGTAGCAAGGGCATCGCTACTGTCCGCGTTCCTTGACATTCCAGCAGCTTCAGCGTGGCAGGTGTTCATCTTAATGCCATTTTGGTGGATGGGAATGAGAAAGAAGTGACCAAGCAGACAAACTGACAAAAGAGATGGAGAGCACTGCCGGGCTTGTGCTCGAGGTACTCCATTTTTGGCTTCCTGAAGACAAGATGATTCGCAAACTTGACTTTGAAGGACATCAGGCCTGCTGTGCATAGTGTGTGCACAGTGTGTGCACAGCGCACCTTCCAGAAGTAAGGCACCTTGCTACTAGTAGCTTCTTGTCGCCTGGTCTTCGCCAGGTGAGGCACCTGGGAGAAGCGCCACTCCCAACTGGCTAGACTGAACGCTGTAAACAGCGAATGTGATGAGCGAAGGTAAGCTGATCCCATGCGCAATGACTTGAAGACACAGCTTGCCACGGCTCCGCAACAAAAGAAGACATAGCTTGCACTTAAGTCTTGCACTTGAGTGGCTTGAGTTGCAAGACTTTAGGCCTATTTTTCGTGTCAATAGGGATGGGGTCCCAGTATAGTCGCTATACAGGTACATGCCATATACTTTTGGCTCAAGTGCCCAACCAGGTAAAAAGGAGCTTTAGCGCGCGAGCTTCATGTTGAACTAAGGGCTAGAACGGGGCCAGGGCACACCTTTCCATCTGTTCGCAGGTTATCAGCCGTATCCAGACTCCTTTGAGCTGGGTACGAGCTGCGGCCTTACACAACACCATCTAAACGCACACGCATCGGATAGATCAGTTACCCTCAGTCACTGAAGATGGACCAATCCGACGCCAGCACTGCATCTTTTGGA